TTCCTAGCTCATTTTTTTTCTGGGAAAGGTTCAATACTTCTCAGCACCCCCTCATATATATAACATACCAGTGGCTGATGAAAGGTAACAAGGGTACCAATCTATTGCAGCCCTCTTTGAAACTCCATCCCTGCTTGAACTGTGATACCCTTTGTCAAGGCTGAGCAGCTGTGGCCCTCCTGATATTTGGGGCCTGCATCTCACATCAGCTCCAGTTGGCACAGTCAGTGGTGAAAGAGTATTGGAGCTGTGGTTCAAAAATATTTGGAGAGACAGTTGCTTATTTCAGTGGGAGGCTAACAGTGTTAAACATCCTTTAATGCTTTGTAAAGTGGTTCCATCATTTATGTAAGATGGACTCAAGGTACTTACTTCCTTTTTATAAAAACAGATATGCAGTCTGAAGTTCTTTGGGCAACTTTAATGATAATGCAAATGGTAGATAGTTAACAGGCAAAAGAGTTTATCAGTGATAACTAATCTTGTCTCAGAGTTTCGAATTTTTAAATATTCTTCTAGCTGCACAACAGAAATGTAGGGCAGCTTCACAGAGCAGAGCAGTTTCAAGTTCCCCAGAGCAGTCCATCCCTTTTCTCATTAACTGCCATTTTCAATCTCAATAACTCTTTAAGACATTAGTAGGAGAAAGAATAAAAAGTTTAATCACTTACAGTTGTGAACAGATCAAACAGCAAACTGACAGACATGACTGCTTTCAGTGAAAGACTTCAACAGAGGGAAGTCTTGAGAGGGAAAAAGAATAAAGCAGAGAGGCAGAGCTCTCTTGATTTCAGAGGCAGGGAAGGAATCTTTGGTTAATGCTGAATAGAAAAATAATTCAAGAAGGTCCCTTTCAGCCAAACCTGCTAAAGGCAGCATGCGAGGTTGCAAAAACTCAAATCCCAGTTCCTAACAGTATAGCTATCTAGTGGTAACTGAACATATATGTTGACATGTGGACTTAAAAAAACACCTCTTTTGGCATCTCTGTGTTAAAAAGTTATGGTGTGCTATCAGACTGGAATTCCTCATGATACATTTAGGAACCCATATTGGTGTAATATAAAAAGTGAGAGGGCAAATAGAATACACAGTGCTTTTAGCATTCAGCTCTTAGAAGGGAATACTTTAGACATCTAGTTTTCATTCTACTTTCGATGTTATTATTTCTACTTTTTAAAAACTGCCTTGTCAAGCATTCGAATGTGCACTTGTTGAAAAAGAGAACTTAATAGGTTTCTCAGCTGCTTATTTCATGGATAATTAGAAGGTTTTGCATGGGAAAAACAAATAGCTCTCTTTCTAAATTAAAGAAATTTAGAAATCATTCACTTCTTCATCTCCTTGTTGACAGTACATATATCTTTCCAAAGCATAGAATTAGAAAGCCTATTATTAAACATTACATGCTTTTTAAACTGTCAGGAGAGATGTCTCACAAGACAGAATGTATACTTGAGACATTATGTCTGAAAAGAGTCAGCCAAAAGCCAAGTTCTGTTGGCTCATGGAATTGAAATTCAGCATCTTGAGCTGTTTTCTACTTAAGTGAAGTGCATAAGTATCAAAAATCAACAGTTTTACTCATGCTTTGCATATACAAAGAAAAGACATCAAATATATGTGCCACTGTTAAAGGATCTGTATGCACTTTTTCATGTCCGAATACCTTTTATGATTTAATTTTTTTACTTAACCTTTCTGACCACAACTTGCAATTATTCAGCACTTCTTAGGCCTCACCTTGAATATTGTGTCCAGTTCTGGACACCACATTTCACAAAGGATGCTAACAAATTGGAACAAGTTCAGAGGAGGGCGACAAGGATGATGAGGGGGCTGGAAACCAAGCCCTATGAGGAAAGGATGAAAGAACTGGGCCTTGAGCAAAGACAATTGAGGGGAGATATGATAGCACTCTTCAAATATCTGACAGGCTGTCATACACAGGAGGGGCAAGATCTGTTCTCGATCATCCCAGAGTGCAGGACACACAACAATGGGCTTAAGTTAAAGGAAGCCAGATATCAGTTAATATCAGGAAAAACTTCCTAACTGTTAGAGCAGTACGACATTGGAACCAGTTACCTCAGGAGTTTGTGAGTGCTCCAACGCTGGAGCATTCAAGAAAAACTTAGAT